AGCGAGGAAGCTAAATTTAATGTTAAACTCATTTTTTCGGATTTATGTAAGGTACGTTGTGATGCTAGGAGGAGGAGAAGCAGAATTCAATAACTTCTAGCTGAGTTTATATGGATTTTAAAGTTTCTAAATGCTATTAATTGTCCTCCAGATGAATCTAAGACTGTATTGAGCCCAGGCCTCTAAAATAACTTTAAGGTGTACCCATGCATCAGAGATCAGAAACATCTACTCTTTCAGGAGGAACAATATTACTGCTGTAATTCTAAGTATTACCTTCCTCGGTTCACCCTGGGATTAGATTAGATTAGAGATTTGAACTCCTGCTGGCAGTTCACAGCTCATTGCAGTTCAAATCAGTTCACTGGAAGTGTTTCATTTTTCTCATTAAGCATGTCGTTATATTCAGTCTGAACACCGCACTCTCCAAAATGAGCAGTCCAGAAAAATAATTAGAATTTGTACAAAATCAGCACTACCTATAATGTGTTTCTTAACCTGGCAGTAAAAGTCTTCCCACACCTTTATGGTTTATTTGTCTTGTAAAGTAATCAAAGCCATGGATGCAGATCCCTGGCAGCAAACACCAGATAAATGTTTAATCATGCTGTGACCATTGGCCATTAACAAAAAGGATATTTCAGACTGTCATTAATAATGTGCGGCAAACCTAGAGATACCATGTTGTTTGGCTTGCATTTAGCACCCCCTAGTGTCCATTAGTAAAAGCAAAAGTGAAACTTATCTCCTCGCTATGCATTTGTTCTTTTAGTAAGTAAATTATATTTATACAGCACATATTACAGAATTAGAATCACAAAGTGCTTCACATAGATCAAAACAAAATAAAACACAAAGTCATAAAATCATAACAATCTTCAAACAAAAATTAACATCAGAAAAAATGAAGTCATACAATTATAAAATTTCACAAACAGATGAAAGAAGATTACAAATTTGAGTTAAAAATAAGAAAATAAAAGTGTTAGGTAAAAAGCAGCTTTAAGTCTTTAGCTGTTTTTTAAAAGTGTCCAGACTTTCAACGCTGCATAAGGATAAAGGAAGATCATTCCAAAGTCCGGGTGCAACAGTCTGGAAGGAGCGATCACCTCGACTTTTATATCTAATCTTTGGAACTTCTAGAAGGTTCTGGTGTGTGGATCTGAGGGCTCAGGTTGGACCATAAGGCTTTAACAGTTCAGTAATAAAAGGAGGAGCTTGACCATGTAGAGCATTGAAAGTTCTAGCCAGGATTCTAAAATTAACTCTAAAGTTAACGGGTAACCAGTGCAGATACGTCAGAATAGGAGTGGTGTTAGCTCTTCTGTTTGCTCCAGTTAGGAGCCTCGCTGCAGAGTTCTGGACCACCTTAAAGGCGTCGTTTACTCATTTTTTCTTTACATTTGCAGTGTTCTCTTGTGTAAGTCAATGCCTTATGAGTCCTTTTTAACAAAAAGCTATGATGCTTCTGAGATCCAGAAGGTTGCTGGTGCAGAGGTGGGCTGAAAACAGCAGGTATTAACCATATGTACACACCTCACTTCTGATTGGCTAACAGAATGCGTTCAGCCATGTTGCAAAGTCACTATCACCAAGACACTCTCCACTCTCTTTCCTCACTAGGGCTGGGCATCATTTGATTTTGAACGATTCCGATTCCAATTCCAATTCCTTGTTTTGATTTCGGTTCCTATCGATTCCAGATTCAGATTCTTTCAAGTCATGACATGTTTTACATGAGCTAGCTAACCACAGGTCCTACTTAATCTTAACTTCAACATGAATTTTAACTCTATGAACAACAACATCACCTTCATTTAGACAAAAAATGTTTTGGAGGAAAAAAGAAAAAGACTTGCAGCACAACCAGTGTGTTTGTTTCTGACCACAACCAAAGTCTGGAAGCAGCCTCTGGGATGAGAGGCTAAATGTCTCCAACATATCCAGAAACGTCCAGCTGTTTTCAGCTAAAACTCTCAGGATGATCATGTCCAGGATTACTGAGAACTACACCTCCACGCTGCAGCAGCATTCAGTCACAACAGGAAGTGAAACTTAAATGTAGCTGGCTGCGTCTGACTGCTGACGCTCCGTGTGTGTTTTTATTTCTGCAGTGAGACAAACTCACCTCACACCATCCAGAGTTTGTTCTTTAAAGCTTTTATTAAATCCACCGTGTTGACGTATTTAACACGTTTCCTCTACGCTGCAGGAGTTTAAGTTTACATTACGGAGTAAAAGTCCGGCAGGCGCGTTTGGCCGCTGCGCGCCGGGGGGGGGGGGGGGGGGGGGGGTGGGCTCGGTGCTGCACACAGACAGCTGGTGTGATCAGCTCTGAAAAGAGTTGATCACAAATTGCAGATCACGCTTATTTTTCAATTCAATTCAATTCAAAAATACTTTATTAATCCCAGAGGAGAATTGATTAAATTTCCCTCTGGGATTAATTAAATTAAATTTGATTCACGGAGATCTCCGCAGATTCCTCTTCCAGTCGGCATTCCAGGAATCGAAACTAGGAATCGAAATAAAAAACACGTCTGTCCACAGAGCTCACATCGTCTAAGACTAATCTGCCTTGACTACCAAGAATCAAAATTTGAGGCCATGTTCGAGCCACGGTCTGCGTTTCTGTGATTAAAAGTTTGTTGCTGTTTAGAACCACTTTATATTAATCCATTTTATTTTTCATGTCTGAATGTTTGAACAGTTATCTTTTAAGTCTTTTCTTACCGTTCCATGGTGAGTTAGCAACCATTAGCAACCGTGTCTAAAAATGGATGTTTTTCGCAGATTGTCACACCTTAGTGTTACATACTTTGAAGAACAAAAGAATAAATACAAAGGTATTCTGTCTCCTGTGGAGTGTGTCCTGGATGTTGAACTGCAGAAATCCTGGAGGTTTTGAGCGTGCTCGGCGTGTTCACAGCAGATGTGGGTTTCCACCTGCTGCTTGTCACACGGGAGAGCTGTCCATGTGAGTACAGTTCACTTTGGCCCCAAGGTTAGCCAGTCTGCAGCAGCAGGTGTCTGTTGCACATATCTGAGCACATCTTGCTACACATGGTTGAGTCTGAGGCTGGATCATATGTCACGGTTCCCAGGGACGAAATTTTGATTTCAGAAGTGGGGGGGGACACAGCAGGCTTGTGCGGATTTGGGGTGGGGGGTGTTATGTAAAGACCCCTTGACACGTCATGTGCCCATCTCAATAATTTTTCCATCCTCTATATATATATATATATATATATATATATATATATATATATATATATATATATATATATATATATATATATATATATATATATATGTCAAAGTTAAAAAATGTACAACTCTATTATTATTTTTATTTATTATCATTATTGAAGTGCAGTTTTGGCTGTTGACAATGGACAGGCTATTGTATTTATTGTTTTGGGTCATTTTTTATTGTTTTTGGTGCAACATTTTCTAACAGGGAGTGAGATTCCTTTTTTATTTAATTTTTGTTTGTTATTTTTATTCATTTAGAAGTTCTGGTTCTGGACATTTCAATGTTAAATGAAGGTTTATTTGTTGCATTTTAAAGGGTGTACTTGCATTATTATGATATATTAACATTATATTAGTGGTTATTTTGGTCTAGATAATGTTGACAATGATATCGTTTATCATCAACAATTTGTTGGACAAAATATCGTCCAGCAAAATGTGTTACTTTCCCAGGCCTAGTCAAAAGTATAAAACTTATTTATACATAAACGGTCCCTCCTGAGATCTGGCCGTTTGTTCATTTGCTGTGTTAGAGGACATGCTGAACTAATGTTTTACACATGATCATCACCCTAACATTTGAGTGTATAAAAACATATTAAATATGTTTTTTCCCTTAAAAGTGTTTAAACAGTTGTTGTATTTCAACACACAAAAATGGAAAAAATAAGATAAATCTAATGAAAAGTGTACATCTTTGACATTAAGCTTAAAAAATCTGTTGACGATGATACTGTTCATTTTTCAGAGCTTTTTAATGTGAAAATATACATTGCAATAGATAAGTTTACAATAAAGTTAAATGATAAAAGTTTTGAAGTTACACTTCTACTACTACTAGTAATAATAATTATGATGATAATAGTAACAATAAAAAAATAATAATTATAATAATACGAATAAATTGTGTCTGAGGAGTCAGTTATGTGGAGGAGATGAGTTTGTAAAAGTTAGTTTTGAGTATGTGTGTGAAGGAGGAGGTGAGTCTGAGCTTAATGCAGGGGTGTCACATGTCCAACTTACGTTTTGACTTTGAAAGAAGTCTCTTATATCCACTTTTCGTTTTCTTGACATGCTGCCTCCTGGCTGTGCCTAACTACCAAAGACTCACAAATGAACACTTATTCAAATGTTATGTAATGGAAGCTGAGCTGAGCTCTGATAGTACACAGCGTCTAGTTGACGATGTGACTCAGTACCGGTGTTCCCTAGCGGCTCCAAACTAGCAAAACAACGTGAGCACGTTCTGACTGTTTACAACTTGAGTGACAGCAGCAACAGCCAATAATACGTTAGCAAGTATCAGCAGAGCCAATAGATTAGCTTTTGGGCGGGTCTAATAGGAAACCGGTTTCCGTTTCGGTCCTAGTGCTCAACCAAATCCTTTTAATGGAGCGTAACATTGTTTTTGGACGGAAAAAAGTGCAGGGGACCAAATCTGCCTTTTGAAAAAGTGGGGGGGACATGTCCCACCCGTCCCCCCCCAAAATTACGTCCCAGACGGTTCCCAATGAGTATCAAGAGCCGTTTGCCACATTTATTGAGTTTCGTTCCTTTATTTTTGTGTTTCTCTGGAAACTGTCTCAGTATTGTGTTATAGAAGGCAAATGTAACAAAAATATTGTGTAAGTATTGTCTATCACCTTTTTTGTCTCTGGTTATTTATATTTGACACATTTTTGGAAAGTGTCCGGACAGCCAGTCCCAGGGACTCCCTGTAAACAGTCATCCACGCTGGAGCCTACCTGGCAAGAGGTCTGTTGTCGGATGTGGCCAGTTGTAGGTTCTGATCAGCTGCCAGTCAAAGTCATCCTCTTGACCCTGTCGGTATTCACATAAGCCAGAGTCGGAGTCCTCGTCAAAGGTGCAGCCCGCTGCAGAGAGAAGAAAAGCAGAATGAGTCTAAAACTTGTTAAAAGTCAGTCTGTTTTTTTTGGTTGTTGCCTCAAGAAAACAAGTGAAGAAACATTACAGGACCATTATTGCTCCATTACATCACCACATTCTTGCTGTAATTATCTTAATACATCAACTCCCAGAGAGTCGTTGCAGCTTTAAACTAAATTACAGCTCATATTTGGCACCAGGTGGCCAGGACTGACGGCCTATCTCATCCCGTCTGTTAAAGTCCACCATCATTTGGTGCAGTTAGCCCTGTGGTGACAAAAGGACACAGCAGCCACGGGTCACTCTAATGGCCAGAAATAATGGGCAGCGAAGGGGCTTCTCCAGCTGATGGAGGACAACAGCATCCTCTCTCAGCCTGTGAAGGTGACCCAACCCTGTCTGCCAGCTAATGGTTGCATTCACTTTTAGGGAATTATTGCAGAAACGACACAGCAGCTTTTAAACTAACCAGTTTAACTGTCACAGGGGGCAAACGTGTGTGTTCTTGTTTATCGTTTAAATGATGAAGGCACACGTTAGAGTCTGGACATAGGAGGACCAGGTTGTGACCATAGACCTTGTAATGATGATTACTTTTCTTATTGTTGGTCACAAATTGATTCATTAGGTGTGTTTGTCGGAAGTTCAGGATATTTTCTGGGAGAGGGGAACTGACCGGGTGACATGATGGCCCGCTCTTCTCAGCTGTTGTGTCTCCATACAAGTTCAGCCCTTTTTGGACTTTGCACAGATGTCAGCATGTAGCAGCTGCTGTGGCGGTGAGTGGTGTCACTGATCAGCGCCAAAAAGTTTTATTCCATCAAAGTACGGCAATAGAATCCATTCGGAGCACGGAGAGCTTCTTTGTGATGTAAAACGTGGCGTTCGGTGGCCGGGACAAGAGCAGGTTTTTTGTGCTCTGTGACCCAGCAAAGCACCGTGAATGACATCGTTGTGGAGGGACTTCCACTTAGCTTTTCGGTGTTAGGAGTTTAGTGATGGTGATTTCAAAGCAATGCGAGCGGTGCTTAATAGCTTGCATTTTACTAATGTCCAATGTCTGTTGATGTCATTTCCTGCTGAATTACAACCAATCAGCTTAAGATAACCAAAGGTTCCACTCAGCGACTCTGCCAGGCCTTTCTGAGTAGCTGTGATTCGGCTGGCCCGGTGAAGTGGAGACGTGCATGTCGGTGAGTCCCGGTAAAATGACCCTGCAGCTTCGATAATGAAAGCACGTCTATTTTATTCCCAACTGCTGCTAAACTCTCCTCCAATCGTCTCGTTTCTGTCCCCAAACTAAACAGAGACTCCAGATAGTCACATTTACATAACTGCCTAAACTTTGTGGACACTTCTGTTCACCATTTGTCAACATTCACAACTTACACTGAACTTCTGAGGGCAGCTGGCCTCCAAGCCACCACCACCCAAAGCTTTGGTACTAGTGCTGTCATGATCATGCCCTGACCTCCGTGTTTTCCTGTCTCCCTGCAGCAGCAGACATCTAGCTGATTAATTCCACCTGCGCTGCTCCCTATTTAAGCACCTGGCTCCTGCTGCTCAGTGTGAGATCGTCTGCTGCCCTGTCACAGTCCTTCGAGCGCCCGCCCGCCCGACCGACCACCGAGCCTGTCTGCCTGTTGCCCGACCTCAGTCCGTCTGACCACGGAACCCGTCTATGGCCTGAGCTCCGTCCTGAACCTGAGCACTCACCTTCATCAGCATTCCTCACTGCTGAGCACCGCTGCTGTTTTAGGAAGGCCACGCCACCCGGAACCGACTCCAGCTGGTCCCGATCACTTTAACAAGTAAATCTTTCTCCGGGTTTGGCTGTTGTTGGATCCGGCTGATCGTTACTAGGTCTGACCACGACAAGTTTACCTTTACATATTTCTAATAATAAATGATCCGCACTTGTATAGCGCCTCTCAGAGTAAGGACTCCAAAGCGCTTTACACTACAGTGTATCATTCATCCATTCACACACACATTCACTCACTGATGGTGATGAGCTACGATGTAGCCACAGCTGCCCTGGGGTACACTGACAGAGGCGAGGCTTGGCTACTGTTTCAGATACCCGGGTTTCTGCCTCTGTTTCCACATGAATATGATGTAATGATTCTCCTGCTCTCATGTGTATGTTTTATTTTTCAGACCCAGATTCAAAATGTCCTATTGCCTGTTGATAACCTATTATGTCTCATCTGTTATGTGCTTCTCTGTTAAATTTTTTTGTTGTATTTTTTGTTATTTTTATAAGTTTTTAAATATTATTATTAGTAGTAGTAGTATTAATTTTAGGGGTTTTTTGCACTTCCTTCCAAGACCTCTTGGCCAGGTCATGTTTGTAAATGCTCTCAAACATTTTACTTGGTAAAATAAAGGTTGAAAAAATAAATTAGTAGGTATATCAGGCTTTAAAGTGTTTGGTGGGAGCTACAGAAACAAAACCCAAGCTTATTGTGAATGTTGCTGGCAAAGCCCCCAAACCCCCCCCCCCCCCCCAGTGAGAAACACATTTAATGTGACCAGTCCCTTCTTAGACCCCTGTTGAGTCTTGTTGTAAAATTAAAGAGCAATTTGTAGAGCTCCATCTGCCCAGTGAGCAGCTCTGGGGAGAAAGGAGCGGTTCCCTTATAAGACATTCAGACACAGTTTTGTTATCAGATCATTGAGCTGGTTATTGTTCAGTCACACCCCGGCCTGAAGTACAAGAATCAAAGGTTGCTGTCTGACTGGACACGTTGAGTTAGTCCCAAGACTCTTCTCACCTGCAGATTGTTGTAGAGCTAGTCAGCAACACTTGTACTGTGTTAAATGTGATAAGTCACTCTAAGATTAACATGCAGGTTGAATGTGAAAATGGTCTTCTACCCCTATTTCCTGCATTACACGCCGATAGGAAATAGATGAGTACACTCGCAGATTAGAAGAGTCTGGACTCACTCATCTTGACTTGTGATGAGGAAGGCTGTTGTTGATTTAGCATCCAGGAGAGAGAAGAGCATGTCTCTGCTAGTAGAAGCTAATTGTTAGCATTAGCAACTCCACAAAATGGCAGAAATCCTTTGGGCGTGTGTTATTTGTGGAGATAAAACATCAACGTTGCAGAGAAACCTGTCAGTGCCTGAGTTGTGTTGCTGTTAGCCAATCAGAGGCGAGATGTCCGAATAGCAGGGAGTAAGACTCCACATCGTCTTCTGCTCACCTCTCCTCTGGCTAACTTCTGGCTCCTGAAACAGGAGCATCAGAGCTTTTTCCCCCAAAGCTTCAAGACATTTATTTATACTAGAGACTACTGCAAATGTGTTTTCAGACTTGTTTTCCATCACCACCTTCGCCATTCTTCCACCTAGCAACCCCCCCCCCCCCCCCCCCCCCCCCCCAACACCACCACCTCCCTAGTCTTCCCTTCTGCCTGCAGTCAAGCAAGTGTTTCCGGATGTGTAAGCAGATCAGGGTTTTAATTGCCTCCTGTGTGACGTTGCTTGCTGTTGTCACACTTTTCCTGCTTATTTGAAAGCAGGAGGACCAAGTGGTTGAGCGTGGCCTACGGTGAAGGCCTGCTTTTCATCAAGAAGCCTCCAGCTTCCATGAAGCAATGTTCCCATCAGACACGTTCCACTGATTTCCCCTCATTAAGACTCATCCTTCCAAGCCTCCTTTGCTTTTAGCGCGCAAGTTCCTCTCGCTGCCCAAACGAGCTTCCCTGGCAGCGGGAGCGCGAGTCCATGTAATTAGAAAAGCCACGTGGATTCTGATGTGTGTGTGTGGGGCGTGTGCACATCAACAAATAGGTGTGTAAAATGAATGTGTGTGCATGTTTCTTGTATGGATGTTTTCCTAAAACTGAATAAAATTGTAATGAACCTTTCAGGGCCACACCAACTCACACGGCATAGGCTGATAAATTATTTGTGTTTATTACAGCAACAGGGAGTCATACCTGGGACCAGGACTTCTCAGGACTTTTAATGCAGTAATTTGGAGCTTTGAGAATTCCAGTGGCTGATGAGAGGCAGGAGTGCCGTCGTTTTGAGCACAGCCCCAGAGTAACGCTCTACCTTGTAGAGCGCTAACACCTGGAGACACGGACACAGCTGTCTGCGATTGTTTCAGTGAACCAGTGTCTGACTTGGCAAGTTCCTCGTGGGGAAAGCAAAGAAAGAAATAAAAGTGTTCAAACAAAACAAATCAAACAAATTTTTTTAAGGTTGGGGAGGAAATTTGGTAAACAAGACCTTAGTTTCTTGAATGTTGCAAAGTCTAGAAGGTGTTATCTATGTTTGGCTCGTCTTCCCTCAGTTTTAGGACATTCTGGCGTTTTCGTCTCACAGAGAAAAAAAACATTTATTGTTCTGGTTTTACACCCTGCTTCTAACTACCAACTGTTACAACACAAAATATTATAAACATTTCTAAATCTAATATCTAGATTAGGTCAAAGGTTATGGATAGCTTTTATTAACTGGGTCATTGATTGCATAGTCATGTTTTGATTTGAGAAATTTTGAACATTTACATACTGTGGGCCACCTTTCTCGTAATTACAGGACTGCACATGGACATACTTGTACTTGTAGACCCATCGCTAAAATAGGTGCAAAAGTGAATAACTGAAACACGTCATTGTTGCGTCGTATGTCCGCGCAGTCAGATTACTGACCTGCTCTGTAGAGCCAAAAGTGTTTGGACATCCCTCCAAACCAACGCATTCAGGTGTAGCAATGAAGATGTATTTGAGTGATTTAAGTGAGGAGGAACTTGACTTGCCTGACCTTAACCTTTAAGGTTAATCTTTAGCGTGAAGGATGTGAGCTAGATCTTCTTGTTCAACATAAAAAATATGCCCATGGAAGAACGGTCAGAAACTCTCATATGCATATGCCTAAAGCATGGACTGATTCTATTTTAAATCTTAAAGAGCAAGTCACCCCCTACCAGAGTCTAACTCCACTCCCACTTCATGTTTGAAAAATGC